TAAAGGCAGCAGAGAGGCCGGGGGGGGAATTGCCACCATGCCCCCCGGCCCAGTCCGCCCCTGAGTGTGGTATATGCATTGTTGTGCCCTGGCCTCTACTGTTCAGTATGTTATAGTGGCATTCACAGTAAATAGCACTTCAATGAATAGCAGCTGGCCAGATGAGTGATGTGCATTGTGATAATGCTTATTAAATTAGTATTGCAGCACAAGTGTGAATGGAACCTCATTAACAAACACACGTCAAAATAGACCCAGATATACAGGCAGTTGTATTACATATAGATCTTAACTCTTCCTGTAAAACCTCAAGTTTGGTTTGTGCACCGCCCAAGACTTGTCTCTATTTTAATGAATAATGTAAGAACACGGATGGTTCAAACCCCCAAATTAGTATGTTCACAACACTTAAACATAAAGATAAGGATTTTTATTTTACCCCTTGTGACTGGCATTTTCAGATATCATTAAGCCTTTTGTGTTATATGTACTGTGGGAAAAATCTAAAATGTGGGAAAAACTGCATTAATTATTTGTTTGAATATCTGAGCACTGTCATTTTTTGGGCCCGGCAAGCTGGGCTGCTGCCCAAAGCGGCATTATGGGGAAGGCCCCGGCAAAGGTGTAAACATTTTTCTAATAGCCAAAGTGGAATGGTAATACCTTCACTTTATCTTTTTATATGCAGACTACAGATGCTGTAGCAACTCATAAGTAAAGAGAAAAGTAGTCAGGACCCATGCAACAATATGTAGCACCTAGGGGTAAATTAGGGCATCTTTGTAGAAACCATCAAATAATTTTTTTAAATATATATATATACCGTATTTTTCTGTCTATAAGACACCCCCATGTATAGGACGCCCCACACTTTTCTTACCCAAAATTCAGAAATCAATATTTTCCATGCTCTTTTGCATAACTGATTACATGATTAAATGACATTAGGGGAAAAAAAATGACAACATTTTCCTCTACAACAATTCTTTGGTTAAAAGTTTGGAGGCAATAGTGTAGTGGCTTGAGTCCTGGTTTGCCAATTCTCAAGGTTGCAGGTTCTTTTTTTATTTTTTCCCCCTAATGTTATTTTGCTGCAACGAAATTCCTCCAATAACGAATTTCGTCCATAATTTCGGCAGGACTACCACTAACGAATTTCGTCCAAAACCGAATCTGAATCCGAAAAACAAAACTAAACTAATTTTTTTTCTTTGTTACAAAACTAAACTAAACTCATTTTTTTTCTTTGTTTCAAAACGAAACGAAACTAAACAAATTTTTTTTCTTTGTTTCAAAACGAAACTAAAAGAAACAAATTTTTTGCTGGTGCACATGCCTAGTATTTACCGGGATTTTTTTGTTTTCTGACATTTTATGGGCTCAGAATGAGTTATTGAATTGTAAGCGGTAATTACTTTTGATAAACCATTTGTAGCTTTACTCTGTTTTTAGTTGTGTGTTGTATTAAATTAGATTGTTGAGGCCTATACAAATGAAGAACACTCATTAGGAAAACATGTCATACACATCACAAATATAGTGATTAGGTTAAACTATATCTCGACAGATGAATGCATCACCTCTATTAATATCAATAGTATATCCCTTTATGCCAGTACATATGTGATTTACATATACCGGTAAAGGCCTACAACTGAGTAGTTCTAAATATTCAACAGCATTTTTATGGTGGGGAGTAGTGCTTTTTGTTAGCTTTTGCCATAAGCACTGTAGACCATAGAAACCACCCTGTATTTGGTTAAGTGTCTTTTTCTCATAGGTGAGGTCAGCTGTAAAAAGTGATGGGTAACGTGAATATTTTGTTGATTTTTGAAAGTTATTGCATTAATAAACATGACTTACCATAAGAAGGCCTTTGTAGGCATAGACAATTCCAAGCCAGATTGTCATGTGAGTATTCTCACAGTGCTCCAAAAATGGAAGAATTGCAATATCTCTCCCTGCAGGATCCGGCTGAAAAGACAAGAGAACAGAAAAAATAAGAACATGTCATAAAAACACAGTTTATATGATTGCACATTCCCTTTATTATACAATTTTATTATTCAACATACACTCATGAGACAGGGTTGATAAAAGCTAATTTAGCTGCTTTTGGGCTTGTGCAATTTGGTGTCTTTGGATCTATCTCCTACATATGTTTTTCTCAAAAGAAGGAAAGGCGTCACAGGATATAGAAGAAGTAATACATAGCAGTACACTATGTTTAATGCAATTATGGATTTGCTGTGAACACTGCTGCGGGCTTAAATGGAGAAAAAAAATAAACATCAGGGAGAATTGAATCTCTGTATGATGATTATCTTTTTCTGATGTTTGTGTTCTCCTTTAATCATTACAGCACTGGATACTTCGATTCCATGCTTGTAGAGATAATTATTTGTGCTGTTTACCTGGGACCTTCATCTCTAACCTGTTTTAACCTTTCTTTTGGGCAAAAACATATAGAAGTATAGCTGGGTCAAAATATGCTCATGTATACATTACCTCAAAGGTCTTTTAAATATTTAGGTAGACTTCAAAAGGCATTATAAAAACTTGTTTAACCTGTTGCCGTCCGCCTGTTGTGATAAAACGGACGGACGGCACAGTCGCATTGGCGGGTTGCCGTCTCCAGGTGGCTTTTTTTCCTGCTCGCACTCGCCCCCTAGCGCGGCCCGGGACGGGCTCGGGAGGGCGCCAGGAGGTAAGATGGGAGGGAGGTCAGCATCTTCTTCCTTGCTGAACTCCCTCTGTGCTGTGAATGTGGAAGTAATGTGTATTACATCACTTCCGCATTCACCTGTCAGTCATCTGGCTGCTATAGACAGAGAGAAGAGAGACAGAGAGAGACAGATCTGTGCTTCATCAGCTTCTTTTGGGGTCCCCAGGTGACATTAGGGGTCTTATAGACCCCTAATGTCTCCATAAAGAGGACCTGTCAGTGTGCCTTTGCTATTATATAGGGGGATTGTTATCCCCCTATGTAATAGCAATAACAATAAGTGTAAAAAAAAATTAAACAAGTACAAAATAAATAAAAGTCACATATAAAAAAGGAGAAAAAAACCCCCAAACATTTTTAAGTCCCCCACTACCACGTTTACGCACATATAAACGTAAATATGCGTTTGATGCGACAGCGTGGGAAATCGACAATTGCGCTATACATGTTACATATCGTGACGAACGTCGGAGGGCGAGCAATAATTTTAGGGCCATCAATCACTGATAACACTAAACTGATGAGCGGTAAAAGCTTTTAAAGCATCGCCAATGGCCAATTTTGTGTATTGTAGTTTTTTGAGGTTTCGCGCGCACGCAATTTTAAGGCTTGACATGTTTGGTGTCTATTTACCCGATGTGACCCCGTCTCTTATATTTTACCAAAAAATTGGGTAATAATAAATGTGTTATCATTTAATATAGGGGAAACTGTTTTTTTTTTTAAATTGATAATTTTTGCTTAATATATTAAAAAATAAAACCCCCAGTGGTGATTAAATACCATCAAAAGAAAGCTCTATCTATCCCCAAAAAATGGTATAAAATTCATTTCAGTACAGCGTTGTATGGCGGAATAAACGTCAGTCCAAGTACCGCAGCGCTGAATACTGAAAAATGGCCTGGATGGGAAGGGGGTTTAACACCCCGGACTTCAAGTGGTTAAACATGCACTAATATTGATAAAAGCTATACAGTAGTAGAATACCTACTAATGATATTCATTAAACCTTAGAAACAGAATCACTTCATTCCTAACTATGGGTACAGTCTTCTAATAATATCTCTTGTGATAGCTGTATCTTCATTCTTATGTATACAATATACACATTTTAAAATCATAGCATTTCTGTCTTGCTTATAAACAAAAGTGTCAGATACAAACTACAGGCATCATACATTTCCAGAGGACCTATAGGATAGCAAGCATTTTATTTCTGAAAAACTAATTCCAGTTACTTCTTGCTAATCTCTTTAGTGCTTAAGGGCCTGGCATCACACTTAAATGTTCTTCTGATCCTTAAGCCCTGAAATGGCTTACACTTTCTACATTATACCTGTCTATATTATGAATATTAGAAAAAGTGTTCCCATATGGGCACTAGACAGATAAGGGGGTCAACATAATAGGAGTACAATGGATGGATGTACAGCACAGTGCTTATTTAAGCAGGAAAGCTAATATAATGTACAATAAATACAGTGTATATCAAAGTAGGGTGGATTATATTAGATAAAGCACAGTATTTATTAGAGCTGGATGATGTCAAGGCTTACCATTTCCCCCAGGTATTTCCAGCCAGTTTGTCTGGCTGCATCCCACCCTGGTTGGTTTGCCTCCCAGTTCGCTTATGCTGATTTAAGTGGCCACACTGCTCTGCGCCATGTTGCCCGAGCAATGCAGCTGCACCTTGGGCTCCTCCTCCTTGCTCCCCATTGGCCATAGTCCCCTGTATCCCAGTAGTATGGCTGCCGCACAGACTTGCAGTGTCCAGATGCCAGGCCTGTCCTTACTCTTCCTTTGATTTCCTCTATTGGTCCATCTTCTTTTAGTGCCTGATTTAAACCACACATGCCCCGCACCTGGTGCTTGTGATAGGTTTTCCCATGTGCCTCACTAGCTGCCATTGCCTGTATCTGATCTGTCTGTGTACCAACCCTTGTCTATATTTTGATCACGTTTCTGCCTGCTACATGGACCAACCCCTTGCCTGTTTAGGGTTTACGCTTCTACATGCTGCCTGGACTGATCTTTCTGAACATCCCTCTGAAAACGCTCCAACTGAGGCACCAGTCTCCCAATCCTCTGTGCACATCTTTATCTTCTGGAACCATAGGCACTCTACTTTTATCTTTGCTCAGCTGTTGTGCTACCAGGCCAGATAATATAGTACCAGTAGGCCTTCTTGTCTTAAGGGACCAGGGACTGCTATATGTGAAGCTAAACTAACCAGCTATTTTTCCTGACCACTTGAACAGGAATGAGCATTACAGGTGAACTATATAATGTAGTAAGTATTGGAGCATCGTAGCTTATACAGAGTACAACATAGCATATGACAGAGCAAGTCCGGTTATATTAGGTATAGCACAGTGCACATTAAAGTACAATTAATTGTATAAAGAACAGCATGCTGATTTTGAGGTGGTCAACCAGTTAAAAGCAAATAAAAAAACAGGAAGTAATGGGATAACAGGGACAAACACAAAAACAAAGATGCATTTTTAGTAAAGTGAGGTAGGATTAGAACTTTTGACAATGTCTTTATCGCTGCCTATTCCTTGTCCCGGTAACAACTGCAACCCCATTTCTTGTTGAACGTCAAAAACACTGGAAGTGAAGGGAACTCTCCCTAATGGAGTCACAGATGGAAGTATAAACCTGACTGAAATAATTTTTTTTCCATTCTAGGCAGACCCCTAAATAAAATAAATAAAATAAAATAATCTGCCTTACGCATCCCTGTACAACTTGGGGTCTTCTACCCTCTCACCTCACGGTTGGACGCCACTGGATGCTATTGAGCACTACCTCAGGGCCTCAGGGATGCCGTCTCTTACGGCCGAGGAGAGGGATAGCATGGAGGCTGCCCTTTCTTCCTCAACTGGTTCATCCGGACCAGGTGGGATTCATGCCGGGGCGCGAAGCGAGGGACAATACCACCAGAACCCTCAATGTTGTTCACCGGGCCAGGGTGGTGGGGACCCCGATGATACTACTCTCTACGGATGCGGAAAAAGCATTTGATAGAGTGAGCTGGGACTTTATGTCGGGTGTTCTCCACCACGTTGGTCTGGGGAAGAACATGATGGCGTGGATAATGGCGCTGTATTCCGCCCCCACGGTCGCAGTTCGCGTAAATGAATCTAGATCACAGGTATTCCCCCTAACTAACGGGACTAGACAGGGCTGCCCGTTGTCCCCGCTGATTTTCGAACTCACTTTAGAACCATTCCTCTACACCGTGCGAAACTCCACGAATATCACGGGGCTGGACACTACCTCGGGGAACCACAAAGTAGCCGCATACGCGGATGATCTCCTTTTCTACCTCACAAACCCAGAGACTTCCATACCTTACCTGCTCAGGGCTTTTTCCATCTATGGCCAGCTCTTCAATTTTAAAGTCAACATCCACAAGTCTGCAGCTCTCAATATAACGGTGCCTCCGGAGGTAATTGATCTCCTGCAGCCTCGCTTCCCATTTCGCTGGGAATTGCACCATCTCCAGTCCTTGGGTACGTTGATCCCCAGGGACCTGGATAAAGTCTACTCCGCCAACTTCCTTCCATTGCCACGGAGAATAGCCCTGGACTTTAAAGCTTGGCGCCCCCTCCATGTTTCTTGACTGGGGCGCTGCGCCGCGGTGAAAATGAACGTACTGCCGAGGGTCTTATGCAGGCACTCCCTATCAGTTTGCCAGTCCAATTTTTCAAAACTACACAGGGACATGATCTCGTTCATCTGGGGGGGGGGGTAAGACCCCCCCCCCGGTTGAGCAGACGCATTATATCACTTCCCAGGAATAGAGGAGGGGTAGGGCTGCCGGACATGTCCGCATACTACTCCGCCATACACTTGTCCAGACTTCTTGAATGGTGTCTCCACAGGGAGGAGAAGACATGGGTGACATTGGAGAGGAGTATCTACCATTTCCCCATAGAGGGCCTCCCATGGCTGTCCTCCGCAATACCACAGGAAATTAAATCACACCCACTGGTGTACACGACACTGAGAGTGTCGCGAAAGGTATTGGGGTCTTCCACCATATCACCGCCCCCCTCGTCTCTGACGCCGGTTCTAGGGGACCCTGACTTTGCACCGGGAGCCGACAACGGTCGACTACGCCAGGCTCTCCTACGTGCTCCCAAATTCCGCCTTCGGGATTTCAGGGGCCCAGAGGACTGGCTACGGATTCCGGATATACAGTCCCTCACAGATCCCCCGGTAGATTTTTGGGGCGCCCTCT